CAAGTGCCTGTGATATGACAATCTAGAGAATGATAGGAGGAAAAAATGCATATTAGTTTCAATCAGATTTCCTGGCTCTGTATCAGAGACCTTGAGGAATTACAAAGACCAGAAAGTGAGCTCGTTGGCTTCCGTGCAGTGCTTTGCAAGAATACAAGGTTGCATCTGCACCTGCAAGAACTTGGCTGAAAAGGCCAGGATTATACTCGAAGTTCCCACTTGCCTCAGCAATGGCCAAGATGGGTAAACTGCCCTAATGCAAAAGTCACATGCCCCACAAAATATTTCCTTCTATCTCAAAAGAGTATTAGCTTCTTTAATCTAAGAAGGTAATGAGAGGTTTTTAAACTGATTAAATCAGCTTAGTTCATCCAAAGTCTATTATGACTAAATATTCAATTAAAACAATTTCCAAAGCAAAATCTGACAAAATCCTCTCTTAAAGTAATTTAGATGATAGGTTCTTAACTTTAGGCAAATGAAATCCTTCTCACAGTTGGTATTTTCCAAAGGGTCAGAAATAGTTGCAAAAGTTCACTGGGACAAAAATCTTTGTGTGCTAGCCATGTTTTATGATCATAAACAATAGAAACTAGAAAGCATTCAGGTGAGCCTAATATTCCTATTTTATTTTATTTTTACTTCAAAGACTACATACATGCAAAAGTTGAACATATCATCACAAATGCTTTAAATAAAGTTCAAAAATAAAATACTTCAAAATCCATTTACTTATGGAAATATATAGGACAATTATAATGAAGTCAATTATATCCTTTTTTCTAATCTATCAGAAAAATACTTATATCATAAAAAAATTTTAATTCATGTCCAGAATTTTTTTAAATCCTTGAGGAATAATTTTAAAACAACTTAAATGTTAGTACGATGTTTAGAGAAACAAGTCCCAGACTTTTGCTAAGTGGATCTGATACCCTTATACCCAATTTAGAAATCATTGAAGAAACTCAAGTCTAGGAAAAAACATTTTTTTAAAAAAAACCTGATGATGATGATTATTGTGGTTGATGTGGTTAGTAATGCAAGTGAAGGGCANAAAAAAACCTGATGATGATGATTATTGTGGTTGATGTGGTTAGTAATGCAAGTGAAGGGCACGACTTTCATCAATAGATAATGATGAAAGTCCTTTAAAATGTTTGAACAGAGATTTTAATTTAGAAACACATGCCAGAAGCTTAATGTAGCCCCACCTCTCTCTGCTGGTCAACACTGCAAGAGGAATTAAAAATCCTGGGTACAAGGAAGTTCTGAGTGCACCACCCTTTCAAAAAACGTGTAAGCACTCACTAGCTCTCCTGACTCTAAAACCAAGCCAGCAGGAGGAAGCATCTTCAAACAGCCCTGCCCTTATCAGGTAAAAGCAGCCTGAGGCTTGGCAAAGTCAAAAACGGGAAATCAGTGTATTCTGATTCTGAACGAGTCTTAATGTTCCAGAGGGTGGCCATTTCCTTCTACAGAAACCAATATTTCTTTGGTAGTATAATACAATATATATCAACAATTCCAATAATTAATATGAACAAAATGCACTCAAAGCTCAACTTTGTGAATGTTCACATTCATCTGGAAATGAGATTTAACTTCCTGCTCCTAAATGAAAAAGGGGGGGACAAGTTGCCCCACATGGAGGATTATCAATTATCAAAAAAGGACAATCGATGTGAGCAGGAGAAAGAGATTATTTAACAAAATGTGTTGGAATTGATTTGAACAGCCCTAAGTGGCTAAACATATCCAAACTTTGGAAGAAGCTTACTTCAAACAATTAAAATATCACTTTCTCTTTCAATCAGAAATATCAGGTTTCCTATTGTGAGAAATCCCTTGCTACCACTCCTAAGTCTTCCATTGAAAAGGTCAAATTGAAATTCTGGTTAGAAACATTTCTACAGAGAGTCCAAAGACCTAGAGTTTGATTTATACCCTGATACTGAGTTGTGATTACAGTTTTCATGTTAGGCAACCCAACTATGATTTTCCTTTTATGGCTTACAAAAAAAGTTTTAAAAGGGAAAAATAAAAGATGTGTGTGCTGTCAGTGCAAAATCAGATTAAGTATGGTTTTTCTTTTCCCTGGGACAGAAAAAAACAATGCCCAGCTCATAGTACACAGGAATGTGTCACAACAAATAATCAGAAGACAGGTTTCACCAAGCTAGTATTCCTCCTCATTCAGTGTGGTTTTTAAAAGCAGTATTGTCACGATTATGCATATTCTCATTAACTAGGTACAGCAGAGCTACTTAAAGGGGAACTGATTTCTTGTGCCTCAGTAAAAGGGGAGTGTAGAAAACAATAATTAGACTGAATAAGGAATCTCAAAGGGCAAAAAAAAAAAAAAANCAACACTGCAAGAGGAATTAAAAATCCTGGGTACAAGGAAGTTCTGAGTGCACCACCCTTTCAAAAAACGTATAAGCACTCACTAGCTCTCCTGACTCTAAAACCAAGCCAGCAGGAGGAAGCATCTTCAAACGGCCCTGCCCTTATCAGGTAAAAGCAGCCTGAGGCTTGGCAAAGTCAAAAACGGGAAATCAGTGTATTCTGATTCTGAACGAGTCTTAATGTTCCAGAGGGTGGCCATTTCCTTCTACAGAAACCAATATTTCTTTGGTAGTATAATACAATATATATCAACAATTCCAATAATTAATATGAACAAAATGCACTCAAAGCTCAACTTTGTGAATGTTCACATTCATCTGGAAATGAGATTTAACTTCCTGCTCCTAAATGAAAAAGGGGGGGACAAGTTGCCCCACATGGAGGATTATCAATTATCAAAAAAGGACAAACGGGACGGCCCGGTGGCGCAGTGGATAGTGCGTCGCTTGGGAGCGTGGCGGCACTCCCGCCCGAGGGTTCGGATCCCACATACAGACCGGTTCCCGCTCACTGGCTGAGCGAGGCGCGGGAGCAACGCCGAGGGTTGCGATCCCGTTGCCGGTCCCCGGTCCGGTACAGGGGCAACACCGAGGGTTGCGATCCGTTGCCGGACACGGAAAAAGACAAAAAAAAAGAAAAAAAGAAAAAAAAAAAAAGGACAAATGATGTGAGCAGGAGAAAGAGATTATTTAACAAAATGTGTTGGAATTGATTTGAACAGCCCTAAGTGGCTAATCATATCCAAACTTTGGAAGAAGCTTACTTCAAACAATTAAAATATCACTTTCTCTTTCAATCAGAAATATCAGGTTTCCTATTGTGAGAAATCCCTTGCTACCACTCCTAAGTCTTCCATTGAAAAGGTCAAATTGAAATTCTGGTTAGAAACATTTCTACAGAGAGTCCAAAGACCTAGAGTTTGATTTATACCCTGATACTGAGTTGTGATTACAGTTTTCATGTTAGGCAACCCAACTATGATTTTCCTTTTATGGCTTACAAAAAAAGTTTTAAAAGGGAAAAATAAAAGATGTGTGTGCTGTCAGTGCAAAATCAGATTAAGTATGGTTTTTCTTTTCCCTGGGACAGAAAAAAACAATGCCCAGCTCATAGTACACAGGAATGTGTCACAACAAATAATCAGAAGACAGGTTTCACCAAGCTAGTATTCCTCCTCATTCAGTGTGGTTTTTAAAAGCAGTATTATCACGATTATGCATATTCTCATTAACTAGGTACAGCAGAGCTACTTAAAGGGGAACTGATTTCTTGTGCCTCAGTAAAAGGGGAGTGTAGAAAACAATAATTAGACTGAATAAGGAATCTCAAAGGGCAAAAAAAAAAAAAAAAACTTTTGGAGTGAATAGAACAGAGAATTTAGAAAGCCAAAAAAAAATTTTTTTTTTTTTTTTTAAAAAAAAGCAAGTAATGTGATGGTAGAAACCCACACAATCTCCCCCCACCCCGCCTGCCACTTTGAGCCCTAATTGCTCAATCTGCAAGGACAGAAACCCACTCTAAATTGACCAGCATCGGGCTTCGGCAAGTCTTCTCTTCACTCTCCCTCCTGTTAAGACCGTTTCCAAAACCAATCAGCAAAGGACAAAGAATTCTTTACAGAGTGCAATTAGTGTTTTCCACGTCCACCTTCAAAAGCATGATGCTCTTCATGGGCTAAAGGACAGAAAAAAACAAAAAAGAAAAAAAGGAAAGAAAACTTTAAGCAAAGGATGGGCTAACCCTCCTCTAGGCATCTCATTCAGCTTCCCCAAATGCTGGCAAGAACTCAAATACCTTTTTTGCCAGTAACTGTTAGCTAAGGCGTGCATTTCCTGAGAAACGTAATAATGAAAATTAAAACAAGGAATAAACAAGCAATGGGCATGCTGCCTGTTTCTTCTTGCTTTGCCTAAGAGAATGAGTCATCCCGACAAGCTTGATGAAGAGAATATGTCAGGCTGCAAGCAAATGCTGCACGGGGAAATGCAACCCACAAAATGCATGGGGGGAGGGGGGCTAACGTTACCCAAGACAGAGCCATTCATAAGCCTATCTTTAGAAAGAAAATAAAACCAAAATAAAACAAAGCAAAGAACCACACAAGGGTGAGAGGGATTATATAATGTCTTCCCCCCACCACCTCTCAACCCCCTCCCTGGGGAAATAAAGTTTCATAACACTGATGGGTCTTTTATTTTTCCCAATCATGTTTTTCCCCCCAGTGGATTTTCAGCCCTATTGTCTGGCTTGCAAAATTGCTAGTCATAATTAGGGAGTCTAGAATAAAAAATTATGCTACCAAAAATATTTTCAAAGACTTAGAATGTTTTAAAGTGTAAAGTAGTAATGGGGGACCTATGAAATATATAAAACTTCCTCCAAGGCTAAAGGCCAAGTTTGAAAATCCACTTGCTGGACTTGGTGAACCATCATTGCGAATCAAAGTCTTATAAAGGGAAAGCGATTCAGGATCCTGAGCGCCTTGTCCCTCGTACCCCATGGCAGTGGATAGTGTCCTAGGAATGCACAGGTGGGCTGCCCATTTCACCTCTGAAGCCTCCCCCAATTCTCTACTTGTTATATAGAATAAATTCTTCAGACTACTGCTGAGGAGGAAAATGAAACTATTTTCCCTTCAGGATCATCTGGAATATTTTACCCCAACCTGCTCTTCGCTTGGATGAAACACTGGAGGGGAGCACTTTACAGCTCTCAGGGTCACCTGGGGTTGGCCAAATACCTAAGGGTGGCCTGAAACCTGAACTAATTTAATCAGACACTTCTCACAGCTATAACTTTACAAATATTTCACTTCGTGTTTTTGTTTTTTTCTTTTTAAGAAAGAAGTTTAGGGCAGACTCAAAAGAAAACGTGGTTTGGTCTGCAATAAAATATATTGTGCTTCCGGGTCAAGTAGAGAAGCCGCAGAACTAGTGATACTGGTCTTCCAATTATAAATCCAGAGATATAAACTATCCAAAGATTTTTATTACTTCTAGGTGTGAGGGACAGTCTGGAACACTCATAGTTGAAAGACTGATGTTGACGGGCTAAGGAGATAGTGGAACAGAAAATTCAAAAGTGGGAGCATCTGAACAGAGGGAATTCTGTCACCCTTTAGTTAGCCTTGGTAGAAAGGAAATATAGAATTACTCAAAGCCAGGAGTCAGCAAACTTTTTCTGGAAAGGGGAAGAGAATAAATATTTTAGTCTTTGTGGGCCATACAGTCTCTGTTCCAACTATTAACTCTGACATTGTAGCACTAAAGCAGCTATAGACAATATGAACACAAATGAGCACTGCTATATGCCAATAAAACTTTATTTATGGACATTGATATTCATATAATTTTCATGTGCCACAAAATATAGTTCCTCTTTTCATTTTTCCCAACCATTTAAAAATGTAAAAGCCATTCTCAGCTGCACCCACACAAAAACAGGCAAGGAGGGGAGAGGAAAGAAGGGGGTAGATTTGGTTTGAGGCTTGTAGTTTGCCAATCCTTGCTCTACATAATTTTCACATCAGAGAAGACCTTTGTCATTCACCTGCTCAGAAGAACTTAACAGAATTGGTGGTGGTGGGTAGAGGGGGTGTCTCTAGACATTGTTTCTCAGTCAAATAATCAATCTGTGTCCAAATCATATGTCACTTATCAATGGCATGATCCTCATCTACCTGCTGGAGGCCATGACCAAAAATGCTTAGATTCTTTCTACATGGAAAATCTACCATCACCTACCTCCTGTAAACTTGGGGACACTTACCAGGATTCTATTAACAAGACAGAGTAAAAGTATGATTTGGCCATTTCTAACTTAGCTCTCCCTGAAACTGCTCTTCATCATGTTATGAATGAGATTTCTGTCCAAATCTCATTTTTCCAAATCACTTCTGCAGCAAGTGGTGTATAAGAGTAAAGGACTGCCTGCTTTATAAAATAAAGAGAATTGCTTTTTTTCCAATTCCAATTTTTATTTGAATAATCTTTGAGTTTTTAAATGTTAATTTATGCCATTTAAAGAACAGATTTCTGCTGAGACCCCAAGCCAGTTCTGCATTACTCACAAGGTCTACAATGGCGTCTACCTTTAGGGTGTCTGTTCAGCTTGATTCAGCTGGCCAAGTTGCGACTTTCTTTGCCTTTGTTTGGCTGTTTTCTCTCCCAGCCATCAGAACAGCTAAGCAGTGAAGTGTCTAGTCAGTCTTACCTGATTATTGCCATGGCCCTAAAAACTAGCCTAACCACTCTGTGGTCTATTTTTCTACTAAAACACTTAACATTGTGTTGAACCTGCTGCTAACCAATGTGTTACCTGGAGATTTAACCATAGAATTTTGAAGTAGAAGGAACCTTGGAGATCATCTAAGACCAACCTCCTCGATACTCAGATGAGAGAGTAAAATAAAGAGAAACTGCAACTTCCTCAAGGTCACACTGTTGAAGTGGGACAAAAATCCAGAGTGCCTGACTTAATGACTCCAAATTGCTTTTACCCTCTTTGGAGTCAAGCATGGAGCCGATTCAGAAGTGGTAAAGAATGTTTTAGCCCCATTCATAAATGGCAGTGAAACACATGTCCTTCTGTAGAGTTTCTGTTAGGTAGTTTTGTGGGTTAGAAAAAAGGAAAAGAAAAACCCCTCAGTGACCTTTCAATTAACATTTGGGATGAAAATATAATTAATGTATCCCTAAAGAATCAAAATGGCATCAACAAATTTTCAATGTCCACTCTACACAGCCAATAAGCAACTTCTGCAGTGCTTTTGCTTTTATTTAAACTCTGATTTAAAATTCAGAAGATCAGCACCTCCTAAATGGCTGCAAAATCAGACCAGTCTCACGGCTTAAAACCTAAATCATCTGGCCTGTGATTGTATGATTCCTTACAGGGAGGCCTTAGTTTTAATATCTTCTATCATGCTAGGACAAGCACAAAACAAAACTTGTTTTTTTATCCGTTAGGCAAAGAGTTGGGGAAAGTGAAACAATAATGAAGTGTATTTCAGCAATTCTAAGATGCATGCTCCCCCACCCCCCACTTGAAAACTTCTGGAATAGTTCTCTTAGTTTAATTGGCAGCCTTTTATATTTCTTTCTTAGTAGTACCAAAATAATGGGGCATCTTATCATCAAGGGCATCTTAGATTCAATGAAATACAGAGGTTAAAAAAATTATTTATTGACTCAACAGTTTTGAATATAGGAAATTTATCATGTATGTGTAAGGTTGTCATTCCTTTTCTCTAACTCATTGTTAAAAGTGTAACCCATAGCTTGATCTACTAAACATTGGTTTAATGGCACTAAGATGTTTTCATTATGAAAAAAGATGACTTTTTCAAAAGAGCACACAAAAGCAATGAACATGAATCATGATGGAAACAAAGGGTCCACACACCTATTCATACTGTTAACATTTCACCACTGTGCATGAATTCTCTTTTGGTTCTGTGTCACAGTCATCCATAATGAGGAAGTATTAGCATTTCAGTAGAACATTCAATCATACCTGCGCTCAGAATAAGTTTCCTCCACAAATACAGATGTTATACATTCTAAATTCCTGTTTATGAAGGGATGATTGAACATCTACCTGCCAGCTCATATAATGACATTTTTGTTGTTGTTTCCAAAAGAATGTATTTGTTTCTGAGCATGACAAATTTAAGTTCAGGTTTAAATTTTTTGAAATAACGAATACAATATGTATTTCCTCTTTTGATCCATGCAGTTAGGCAAGAATAAAAGCTCATTTCAATTTCTGAGAATAAAGTTTTTTTTTTTAAACACTTATATGTATTTTATTAAATTATTTTCTGAAGTATAGAGTTTCAGGTGATTCTGACTTCACCTCATTTGCAACATAGTTTCTATCTTTAAAAATATGACAGAATAAGCTAGAAAGTAATAATTGAAAATGAAGCACTTACGTTTATAAAATACTGCTTTAAAAGATATGTGGGGCAGAAGTTCATAGATCTTTTCTAAAACAGTTGCTTCACCGACTAAAGAGGCATTTACATTCCAGACTTGGACGACATCTTCTCGGTCCCGAACACTGACACTGACTCCTATCACTTCGTCATCTGAGGGGAAGATGGAAAAAAAACCAAATAAGTGATAATTTCAAGTCAGTCTGACTGTTTTTAAGCACCTAATCATTTTATCTGTGAGTTATGGATAAGATGGAAAAAAGAAGGCACAAGAGAACTTGTAACAAACCATTGTTTCTACAGGGAATCATCGGAAAAAAGCGTGTTAGTGCACTAAAGCTGTAGCAGTCACATCACATTTATCCAGGGACTTAGATAAACAAAGTGTTCCAGCCAAACACATTTTTCAGATAAGTAATTTACCCTTTTTAATGTTACCAAAGCTTTTTTACTATTTCTTACTCTGTTTAGATGAGATTTTTTCCTAAAACGGGTTGCATAATTCCCTGCTCTCTGAAAGTCAAGTGAACTCAGATGAACTTTTCCTCGATGCCTTGCTGTCTTTGTTATAAACAGCAAGAATTTCTCCTGACTTCCTGCCAAGCTTTCAGACACCTTGGGGTGGTAAGTACTATTTGCCCCAACACTTACTGGACCTAGACTGTGCATCCCCAGTTGCTCATGTGCTTTTTGCGGTTTGCTTGTCTGCTTCTTTCCTATTGATTCTTCCTGCTCTCTGGTGCTTTCCTCTAGCAATCCTGCTTATGGTTTGGGGCAGACTAGAGAATCAGTGACCATCTGTTAGAACTGTGTATAGAGGGCCGGGCCTGTGGCGCACTCAGGAGAGTGCGGCCCTGGGAGTGCAGCGACGCTCCCACCGCAGGTTTGGATCCTATATAGGAATGGCCGGTGCGCTCACTGGCTGAGCACAGTGTGGGCGACACCACACCAAGGGTTGCAATCCCCTTACCGGTCACGAAAAAGAAAAAAAAAAAAAAAAAGAACTGTGTATAGAATAAGAGTAAATATCTTCTGAGTATGACTCTGTGATTACAGTACTTCAGTGAATGCACGTGAAGGCAATTATCTACACTGATTAATGTTGGCATTTTTTTTAAAAAACAAAACTCCAGATTTGGGACTGCCTTGTGTATATATGAGAATAGTGGTAGATACTAAGGTTTTGTTGCACTGTTACATCCTCCCTTGCAGTTGCTTTGTTTACGCTAATGTGCAGTGAAATGATAGGAATACAGATTTTTTACTTCCAGTTTTACCTGTTCAAGGCACATTAATGAAATAGGATCAGCTCTCTGTACTTGCATTCTTAGCAACAGTAAGTAATATGTGAAAAATAAGCATTATCAAAATTAGAAAAATTTTTTTTTTCCTTTTCGTCTTTTTTCGTGACCGGCAACGGATCGCAACCCTCAGTGTCGCGCCCGTACCGGACCAGGACCGGCTACGGGATTGCAACCCTCGGTGTTGCTCCCGCACCTCGCTCAGCCAGTGAGCCGCCGGTCTGTATGTGGGATCCGAACCCTTGGCGGGAGCGCCACCGCGCTTCCCAAGCGGCGCACTGTAGCAGTGCGCCACCGGGCCGGCCAAAATTAGAAAATTTTGCCTTAGTTAATATGCTTTCTCTAATTTGCTAGCCTCTGTAAATCTAAATATTCATGCCATCAGTTTTTCCAATTGTCTTCTAAAGTTAAAACATTTTAGTATTAGGATATAATTTTAATAAGGACACATCTACTTTACTAAAATAAATCATCTTCAGTAAAACAATTCCTTTTTTTCCTCCATGCTTCCCTTCCCTCCCTCTCTTCTTTTCTTTTTAAATGAATTTGATCCTGGCTAAATTTTTATAACTTGACACTAAATGACTCCATTTATATAAGTGTTCAAAAACAGACGATATTATCCTATGGTGTTAGAAGTTAGGCTAGTGGCCATTTTCAAAGGAAGGGAAGATGACAGGGGTTCTAGGGAGTCGATGATATCCTGCTCCTTGATCTGGATGCTAGTTACAGGGATAGACTTAATTTGTGAATATTTGTCAAGTTATATACATATAACGTGTGTACTTTGTGTATATATGTCACATTTATACCAAAAGATATTTTTAAGGGCCGGCCCGGTGGCGCACTGCTACAGTGCGCTGCTTGGGAAGCGCGGCGGCGCTCCCGCCGAGGGTTCGGATCCCACATACAGACCGGCCGCTCACTGGCTGAGCGAGGGGCGGGTGCAATGCCGAGGGTTGCGATCCCGTTGCCGGTCCCCGGTCCGATACGGGCGCAACACTGAGGGTTGCGATCCGTTGCCGGTCACGAAAAAAGACAAAAAGGGAAAAAAAAAAAAAAAGATATTTTTAAAAAAAGCACCCGATTATGACCATCCACAGAAATTTATTAACCCATCAAGAAAAGATTTTTTTAGGTACAGGTTTCTTATTTTTTAATTTACATTTTAAAATTCTACTTGCTAGAGCACAATTTTAAACTTTTTGTGAAAATTAAAATAATCAAATAAAGGAGGCTTTGAAGTTTACCACTTTCAAGAATGGTCATGAAGTTACTAGATCAGTCTCTTGGGGAAATGTTAGTGTTTCCCAGTTTTTCGGTATTGCCCATTTTTACAGTATTGGCCAGAGAGTGATATAATTAATGAATGTTGAATACGGTGAACTGTCAATATTTCAGTTTGGCTCGGCTTTTGGAAATTAGGCATAGTTACTAACACAGCACCTTCACAAATGACATGGTAAAAAGGCTGCAAGTCTTATGCAAAGCCAGATCCGTCAGCAAACATGTAATATTTATAAGTAGAATCAACCTGCAAAACCTTGAAATTTTAGGGTACTGGCAGCATAAGACATTAGAGTGGAGGAGCTACTATTTAAAGATGATGGAAGTGAGGCCCAGAGAGATTAGCTGACTTATGTAAGGTGGCAGAGCTAGTTAATGGAAAAGCTAATGGTTAACAGTTAACGGTGCTCTAATTTCATAAGTCAGCCACAAAACAACTGGTCTTCTTTACTTAATACTGGCTATTTATTATTACATAGACTATTTCTCCTGGTTCTAGAAACAAATAACTCCTACAGAAAACTTTCTCTCCCAGGGATGTATGTGTTTATAATTATACACAGGATATATTTTTGGCTGCATATTATCAAGTTGCTAACTACTCCCTCTTAAAACAGAGGGAATCTGTACTTTCAAGACAATTTTATCTGAACCCAAGCTTTGTCTTAAGCAAATAAAAAGTAGTGTAAGAAAGAAGTAAGCAAAACAAAAATGGAATTATTGAAACTGCTAGTGAGATGAATTTGAAACTTGCCATGGGACTGGCAGGACCTACAGGGGCTCTCAAAGACAGAACTGTCAAGATGTTTGGGCCAACTGATCAATACCAATTAGCTTAAAAAAAAAAAAAAAAGAAGCAGCATTCCAGAGACTGCATAACACTGACACACACACACACACCCGCCCCCAATACACACACCACGTATCTTTGGCTTTGTATACTGATCAGCACATGAATGTGAGTAAAAATACCTCAAAGCCAGGGACAGAGCCAACTAAATAATTAAAGGAAACAATCTTTTTAATTTTTACAGAACTGAAGATGTCTTTTTTCATCAGCCATATTGGGAAACCTCCTAATTTACAGAGCATCACGTAGAATACTCAGAATGAGTTTGCCTCGAAGCATTCAGAGGGAACTATCTGAGAAGAAATCAAAACTTTAATCAAGCAATTAAATTCTCTTCTTTGAGTGGTTTCATGATAAACACAAACAAAACAAAAAGTGCTCACAGAGGCTCTCAGAAACTCACTTGGTCTTTAAAAATGGTCTCCAAAGGAAAGTCCTCAAGACCTCATGTTTTATCCTCAGCTGTGGAATCATGGGTAATTATGGTGAGTACATCCCTGACTATCTGCTCCAGTCCTCTTTGAGCAGGGGACCAAGCGAGAAACAAGAGGAAGGAGGAAGGGACAGAAGGGATTGTGTCTGCCTACTACAGACTTCCCTGGACAGCAAAGGTGCATTCCTCTTCTGGAAGAATTGGAAGAAGGAAACCTACAAACTGTGCCAAAAATCCAACTGATATCAAATTTATCTTATCTTTCTTCCTATTTAATTTGGACAGATGGTAGTGAATACTACTAAGTTGAGCTATGAGGGAAAAATATATATGCACATATACATACATAAATATAGCATATAGGTATGGAAATATTCACACGTACATATACACACATACCTAACACTAAACCTCACCATCACATGAAAAAGTCTCACTAACTTCATAGTTACATACTAAACAACTTCAAAACATGTAAAAAGTCAAACACATAAAAAACAAACTTCTGCAAGTCACAAGCATGAGCCAAGCACGCATGAGGCGTGGACGACTGGAGCCATGGGCTTCTTTACCTGTGGCGGCACAATCTGTGAACTGTTCCCCAATAGTTGCTAACAACAGCTCTTTCCAAACTGTGGACTGATGTGGGAAAAGAATAAAAAACAAAAACAAACAAAACACATATATATTTTTAGACAATTATCTTCAGGAACCAAACCAGTTACATTTCTTCAACTTCACATGCACTTTTAGTCCCATATTTGCAGCATGCAGACATCTTCAAATCATAGAGGTAAACGTTTACAATAGTGACATATACTGTATTGGTTTACAAATAACTTGACACAGATAACAAGTGATCCAGTTCTTAGGAAAGCTAATCTCTAGTGAAACCTCCGATGAAGCTCCGAAGAATGGAGAGAACGCAGTCACATGACTCACACTGTTGTGGTTTCTTTACCTCTCACTGATTCAAACTGAATCAACTGATTATATTTGAATGCTATAGTAAAATCCTTGTCCTTAAAACCTTTTCCTCTGTTTTCTTGCAGCTTTTAAGGTACTTCAAAAGTTACACAAGGAAAGAACACTTAAGTAAATTTCTTGTTTATTGAATACTAGAGACTTGCAAAATTCCATTCACTTGAATCAGACTGTTTATGTTACGTGATAGAACTTAATGTATGAATGTATGCAATTCCCCTGGAAAAATGACTACCTGCTCTGGTCTACCTCCCACCAGTGAGAAACAAGGTTCCTTCTGCTCAAGATCTACTAACACCATCCAGTACATAGCCAGAATCCACTCATAGGTTCTGGAGACCTGAAAGTACACCCAGTTGTTCCTCTTGAAAAATTCGTGATCCCATTTATCTTCCTTGCCATGGTTCCCAGGCTCCCAAGTCTCCCGGAACTGGGTTTGAATCCCGTGAGGCTGCTTACTACCAACGACCCAGGTAGGTTATCAACCACTCTGAGCATCAGTTTCTATAGGCAAACAAAGGAATAATAATAGGGCTGACCTCCCAGGGCTGTTTTGAGTATGAAATGAGTCAGTGATGCATTCAAAGGGCTTAGCACAGTGATTGCAACGAAAGGGCTCAACATTTAAGATCCGTCCCATAAATAGCTGCATGTTTGCCATATTGAGCTGCTGGGTGCTCAATACATATTAACTATAATAAGGTGTTTATTACTATGTTCTAATGAGCTTAAAGCAGGCTGGATAAATGTTTTATAAAGGCAATGGCAGCTAACCAGAGAACTGAAAAGGGACCTTTCCTCCTCCGGGGGGTTGTTCTTTTTTCTTTCTTAGACCTTCCCTTCTGTTCTGCTAGTGTCCCACTTAGAAATCACTGCTTCCATTTTCTCTCTGCCCAACTGTGGTCTTTTACACTGTTAGTGATGAAGTTGAGGGTGGGAAGAGGAAGTTAGAGGAAGGGAGACTTCACTCCCCTGATGTAAATTCAAGATGGCCCACCAGACTCCCACCACTTGACACTTAAGAGAAGGCTGGACTGCTTGGGATGAAGACACTATTATTTGTAACCAAATGGCCAAGTGAGATAATAAGTAGAGAAAGGACAAAACTGACTCTCAGCCACTTTCCAGGAAACACTGACATCATGATTACTTCTACTAGAATTCAAAGTCTAGTGTGAGTAAATAAAGAACATGAAAAGGCAAAAGAAGTTCATAGAAATTTTTTTTAAAAAACAACTTTCCATTCTCTTATTCTCCTATAGTCTCCATTCTCTCTATTTTAGGAGGCTGAAGGGGCTTCATATGCCTCTCCTGATTTGTTATTTGCTCCCCTGACATTGTTTCTGGATGCTAAATAACAGTCAAATCTTGGAGCTACCCATGTTGACTAAGAGAGTGCACCTATGACAAATAAATGCTATCTTTAGGTATGTGCTCATAGAGAAATGACTCCAGCTTAAGAATATGGGTCTCTACACATTTCAACTCTTTGAGATTATCCACATGAAAGAAATTATGAAAAGGTGAGACTGAGTACCATTTGCCTTTTGTCCATTTTAAAAGAAGATTTTTGGTTTCCCAGGGCTTAAGATCATCGATTTTATGTTCATGTTCATTTTCAGTCACTATTGATGAATCGGAACCTACTCCTGGGAAATCTGGGTTTCTGAGGCTTAACCCCTGCAAACCAGCATCCCACCAGGTCTTTACCCAACCAGGTTCTCGTCGGCCCCAGAGGGAGGCTGGGCATAGCTTCTCATGAAACCCCAAGGAACAGTGAGATGCTAAACCTCCCTGTGCCACAGTCCTTCTCAGAAGTGCTTCTGCCCCCAGTGGAGGAGGGATGGGCCTTTGGTGGGCAGAATCCTGCTTCCCACTATGCAGAACCAACTTCCATGTGTTAGTTATGGCAGGCAAAGAGATGACCTCTATTAAGCTTATCTTTCAAGTGTATAGGCATTTAGCTCCTGCAGACTCCAAGATACAGTCACACTGTTCCACCATTTCTACAGAGAAGCACAATAAGACATTTTTAAGGTGACAGTGAAAGCCCCAAAATCACCAGTGCCAGAGCAGAATTTCTCACCCCCAGGCCTGTCCAGAGACTCCCAGTCAGGCTGTCTCAAAAGCACAAAGCGCTCATCACATGCAGTCAACAGCAACCCCAGCTTAGCCAGCTCTGGAAAAGGATCAAAGCAAACCTACCGTGCTGTCCTTGGGAACTTTCATTTTCCATACGCCACCCTTTGCATTACTCTCTTCTTCCCTGGATCAAAGACCAAGGTTTAAAGGGTTAGGTAGTTCTATGTACATTCAGATTAAGTATTTCTACATACATTTCCTTTAACAATAGATGGCCTTAAAAATAAAACCAATTGGTCATTTTTCAATAAACTCTCCCACAGTCCTTTTACTGGAAACAGAAGCAGATGAAAGAAAAAGGAAGGAGATAGGGATGGGGAGGGAAGAAAGTAGAATTTGGGCCGCTACAAGGGCAGGGAGGGTGGAGGACACCAGGTCCTCATCCTCAACAGGGCGGTGCTGAGAGGCTCCCTAGGGGAAGAACAAGTAATGTACCTGCTTCACCTGTGAAGGCCTTTACACGTCAATATCATGTCCATGACACTGTCTCATTTGATTTTCACATCAATCTTGTGTTGTAGGCCTTATAGGTGTCCTTGCTGTGTTTCTCTGTTAAATATCTGCTCTCTCTCTGGTAAGAGCACCCCAGTTTCACTTTAAGGAGCCACCTGTCCCCTACACTTACGTCAGACCCACTCAGCGCTGATTCCAGATCCTGGCTTGGAAGGTGGGCTTAGGACTCAGGTGTGCCTGTGAAAACACTGCTTCCTCCTTGTCTTTGTGATTAGCGAGGGATGGAAAGGTGGTCCACAGTTGGCCAATGAGAGCCGGCTCTGAGATTTCATTGGCGCTAGTGAATGCTGACATTGATAAACTTGCAGGGTGTAAGATCAGAGCTTATGAAGGCCATTTTGCCACCACAGATGAGAGAAAATTAAGCTTGAAATTAAACCAATGCAAAGGAAAGCCTAGAAAACCTGATGGAGGGTATCAGATTCCTGATCACATTTGAACACCCAGATCTGCCAGAAATCAGTCCTACCAGTGGACTTCTCAGTTACAGATTCCAAAAAATTCCATTTTTTTTTTTTTTGCCCAAATTAGGTTTCTGTCACTTGCTACTGAATGAGCTGAGATACATTCCATTTTATTAATGAGTAAATAACTCAAAAATGTTGAATGACATGATATAAGGTAATTGTGACTCCAACCAGGGCAAACTAATTTACTGTCCCCCACCCTTATCACTATACCAAGCTATTAAAGAAGGATACTTCCCCCTAGACTCTGGGCCATGATTAGTTAGTATCACAGACTTTCTATGTGGTCCACAGGAGAGACATGTCTCAGGTGATATGATTGCTCATGAAGTGCACGACCATTTCCCTCCCATCTTGACCTCAGATTACACATTAGACACTTACCAAAGTGGTCGCCTCTCTCCTCTCATTAAATGATAACTACATCTCAAAGGCAGGCTAGTCACAGGAGGGATGTTATTGTATACACTCCAGAATATCTTTAAAAGAAAAACAGTTTGTTTAATACACCTAGTACTGAGTTACTAGTATGCTACTAGATTATAAAATTAATGCATTGAGGAAAAAATTTGATTCTCATTAAGTTCCGTTTGTTCAAAATAGATTTTTCTGTTATCTCTTCTAATTTTCTCCTAGAAAATGTAACATAACATTAAAGAATGTTCCTTGCTGAAGTTGGGCCAAGTTCTGTGCTTTAAGAAAATATGGTTATTAAGCAAACATTCCTATGTGACATGTCTGCACAAAACAGGATACGATCTTGCTAATAATTTCTCTGACAGGTAGCTGGTATCTAATAAAGCCTTTAGTACTGAATATGTGTGCTGAGCCATATTTCTGTATCTCCTTTCCATACTTCCTCTTTCTAAGCCTGGAAGGAGTCTGTGATGCTTTGGCTTGGGGGCTGGAGGTGTACAGCAGAGAGCAGAAAGGAGTCATCTTAGGTGCTCTGTCCTCCTCCCTTTCCTCCCCTAGAGGGAACAGGGAGCAACTCAAGTGCTGAAACCACAAGCTGCCCAAGATACAGGGTGCATGGACTGCATGTTTGTGACCTCCCAAAACTCACATGTTGAAACCCTAACCCCCAATGGGATAGTAATAGGAGGTGGGGACTTTGGGAGGTGATTAGGTCATGAAAGTAGAGCCCCCATGATGGGATCTGTGTCCTTGTAAGAGGAAGAGAGCCAGTCCTCTCTCCGCCATGTGAGGATACAAGCAGAAGATGGCCATAAACCAGGAAGAGGGCCCTTACCAGAACCTGACCATGCTGGCACCCTGATCTTGGACTTTTGGCCTCCAGAACTGTGGGAAGTTTCAGAAATAATTTATAAATTTTAAATCGCACGCCCTTCTGAGTAACATAATGAAATCTCACACTGTCCCACTCCATCCTGCTTAGGATGTGAATCATCCCTCTGTCTCGCATGTCCACACTATACAATACCCAGCTGTTAGTCACTTAGCTCTCTCAGTGATCGCAGTGACTATGGCAGTATTGCGGTGCTGGTGTTCAAGTCACCCTTATTTTACTTTATAATGGCCCCAAAGCACAAGAATAGTGATGCTGGTATATTGTTACAATTGTTCTTTTTTATTATTATTGTTTTTCATCTCCTACTGTGCCTAATTTATAAACATATGTAGGTGTGTATAGGGAAAAACATAGTATATATAAGGTCTGATTCTATCTGCAGTTTCAGGTATCCACTGGGAGTCTTGGAACGTATCCCCTGAGGATGCGGGGGACTACTGTAGTAGAAACTAAAAGTAATGGCAAGAACAAGTGATACTTACTGAGCTATTCTGTGTGCCAGGCTTTCTTCTATGACCTTTTACATGTTTATGTAATTTATCCTAATGATAACCTAACGAGAAGGTATGATTATTACCCTTGTTTTACAGATAAGGAAACTGAGGCACAGAGACTATCCTGCCCAAGTGTCACTGTTTCGTTTGACCATTAGGATTAGGATGAGGGTTGCAGCTACAAAGAAGAAAATGCTTCCCAGTTTTTTGGAGTGGGTTGCAGACTTACTGTGCTGTGAATTCTATGCACAGAACGACTATGCAAATGAGCAATATTGTTGAGACTGTTGAGTGGTGAGGTAAGTACAGGGTGATCATCTGGGTCTCCTAGCGGATCTGAGGAAAACCTTACAAGTAACAGGGCAATTAGAAAGATGAATCCTAGGGCCTCATGAGTTGCACTGCAAGTGTGGAATGGAATTTTTTCTATGTTGAATGATAATCCTTATAGGTTGTTCAAGCCTGTTTGTGTAAATAAGGCTGAATTGATTGCAAAGGTGGCAATGATAAACTGTACCATATAACTGAAAGGAAAACTATGTGATGGTAGATCAATTGAAAACGCACTTGATTCCTTCTACTGAAATGGTGCAAGTAGAAGGAGCAGCTGAAAGTAGATTTGTAGTCACGGGAGCACTTCAAACAGGTATCTGTCCTTACGGGGGTACCTACCCTACAAATGCTTTGCTATTAGTGCAAATAATAAGATTACTCCATTATCTCAGTTTCTGTCTGTGGAGTGAATGTGAATTAGAAGAGCTAAAATCTGAACCCAGGCAAATTGATTCCAAACCCCGCATTCTTAATGATTATTTTCTTTGAAGATATTACTACATATTTTAGGCACAGATTTCTCCAATCTTGGAAACCATGGACCAGGTCATGGAGTCACAGAGAGAGGGACACCTGCTGATGATGTTTTCCCACCAGTGAGATGTCCATAACTCTGTCAAGTCCTGTGGTTGTTTAACTCCAGTCTGAGATCCCTGCTAGGATGTGACAATGGCCTCTGTAGAATTTATGGGCAAAATGATGCTAAAATGAAAACAGTGCCTAAGGTAAAACTAAGAGGAGTTTGGTGCTGGCAAACTTCAAGTTCCCTAAAAGACATTCCAAACAAAAGGTTCTGCCCTCCCACCCTTGCCAAAGTTCTTGAGTCCTGACTTTTTACCTAGTGTTTGAAGCTCTTTAAAAAAATACAACAAAAATATGCTCCCATCCCAAAGATAAGAAAAACACTCCAAGCACTATAGCTTTTAGCAGCTTCTCTTGGAAACAAAAACAGACAACTGATTTTGTGTTGGCAAATCTGACAGGAAAAGGTTACAGCCCAAGAGGATACAGTGACAGACTTAACATATTCATTAAGGCACAAATTTGCACATTTCTGCAGGAATGCAAAATGGAAACAAAATATCCAGTGACATCAATGAAAAGAGCCACATTTAAAAAGTACTTGACACTAAACTGGTCTGTTTCCTTCTTGCAAACCTCACCTAATAAGTAAAACATTTGTTGAGTATGTTTGATGGTGACTCTCACCTTCCCCTGCCAAAGTGACAGGGCATTTACAGTGGAAGCTTGATCACTCATTATATTCTCTGGAACACTTTTAAAAAAAATTTGAAACACCTAAATTTTACTACCGATAAAACTCTACAAATAGATTTCAAAAGCCATCAGGATTATAATTCATTCTACTTGGCCTGCAAATGGAAGATTGCAGTAAAAATAAAACTAAGCACATTTATTCAGTCAACGTTTGTGAGCTCCAGCTGTGGGCAGCACACTGTGACAAGTCCTTGGGGAACCGAGCTGAACGTGGGAGGGGCAGCCTTTGACCACAGGAGTCCCACTCCTTGGTGGGTAAGTCCTCAAGCACCATTCTGACACCTCCCCTTGAGGAAGTGAGGCAGGGCAGACACTTAAATTCAGTCCAACACTGGATTTAAGACCTAAGTTCTCAGGACAACCTTCACAGGTCACGTAGCTCTTGAAACTAAAATCACCTCCACTGTATGATGAGTATGATACAGTAATTTCATCGGATAATTTAATGATTAAGTGCAAAGTGAAAGCACTCAGTAGGCCTAAGGTAAAGAAGCAAGCTGTGGTTAGACTCATTAAACATGGTGACTACTTGAGAAATCCCCAATCTGCTAGTTCTGGTTGGAGCAATTGTGCCCCACCTGACAGTCTTCTGCCAAAGAGATACTCATTCATTACCAGGAAAACTGGTAAATTTCCTCCTCAACTTCCTACTGAATGTTCTGAAGAAAAAAAAGACAATATACTTGAAAATTCTTGAGAAGTGAAAACGCCGTGTGTTGACAGACAACAAAGTGACATGTTTATTTTATAAAACAAAACCACCCAAATACACCTTTAAAAAAAATCTAGGGTTTCTTCCAAGGGTTGTAGCATGGTAGCAGGAGAGTATTTTTGAAATATTAAACAAATATTTTTGCTCATTAGGTATTTCTAGTTGTCTGGGGCTTCCCACCAACTGAATCAATGGTATTTATGGGAAGGGCAGCTAGAGATCAGAACAGATGGCAGCTGAAGAGCTTAATGGGTGTTTTTAACTCAGCAGACACAAAATCTGAATGCAAAATGCTTCTGATTTGTAAGAGCTAAGTGCTTGAGAGAGAAATAGGTTTTGCTTTGAATTCCAAAAGAGCTAGACTTAAAGTGTAAGCTCAAGTTTGGAGGACTGATCAGCGAGTAGATGAGCTAAAGGCGAGGACCTGAGGGCAATTTCCCACTACACAGAACGTCAGTTAAAAATCAAACTCTGAGTTGGGGAGTTAAGAGCTTGGAGTGAGAGGAGAGTGGGGTTCAAACCTTGAGATGATGGAGGAGAGCTCCCTCCCCCTGAAAAGTTTGGAGAAACCTAGAGCACAGCAGTACACAGCCTGCTTTCTGGGTACAGCCCACGAGGCTACAAGACTCCTATAGAAAGCCCTCATTCCTGCCATGCTGAGCAGCATGGTGGCCAGGTCAGAGAACAGCTAGGATGTGGGAGGGATTATTCTTGTTAGATTGACCTGCTGCAGCCTTGCAACGTTCTCCACATTCTGGTGGGGTACAGGAAAGGCAGCCAAATCCAAATTTCCTAAATCCCCAATTTGGAGCATGAAATCCCTAGAAAGCCTGTGGACAGTATGACCTGGGGTCTGGATGTGGGTGTTTACAGTAGGGGCTTTTATGACCTGAGGCCATGGCAGGGCCAGAGATGGTAGGCTCAGCACCCAAAGGTCAGGTAGGATTAGGTTCTCTGTATATGCCTCATGTGGAGAAGGGGAAGAGGGCGAAAAATTTCACCAAAAGAGACTTAAATTCAAAGAGATCAAGGTTTTACATCTGCAGTGACTAAATAATTTTTAAACTGCAAGACTGAATCTCACTTACTCCCCCCACCCCCACATACAAACACACGCACATTGGTCTCCACTGCCAAGAGCAAGCATGGAGGCTCATGGACAATTTGACTTCAGTTACATTTCTGCGTAACTGGGTTGTGACTATAGAATGTTGATCCCATTATCCATATAGTGAATAAACTGAATGATTGATGAAGATATACAGGTTGTATATCTCTTATCTGAAATGCTTGGGGCTAGAAACATTTCAAATTTTTTTGGATTTTGGAATATTTGCAGAATATACTGGTTCAGCAGCCCTAATCTGAAAACCCAAAATTTGAAATGCTCCAATGAACATTTCCTTGGAGTGTCATGTCAGGGTTCAAAAAGTTTCAGATTTTGGAGCATTTCGGATTTTTGGATTACGGATGCTCAACCTGTATCTGATATTGTCTGTGCTGGACAGAACTGAAGTAGACCTGGCTTCTGGTACTTTTCTCCCTCTTTTCCCTCAGGGCCCTCCCTTCACCCAAATGGCTGACTGCAGGTCATCCTATTGCAGGATGCCACCCACCATGGGCTGCTCTGCTGTGTCCAGGGCAGTGCGTACTTTGAATCAATCTTGCCATCATCCTCCATTATCAATACTGATCTATAAGTCTCTCTTCTGAAGGAACAGCCCTCATTTCCCAAGAGTTTAGAAAGCAATCTGTTACCCTAATTTAATGAGCTATAACAGTATAACAACTCCACGATGAGGTGGCTTGACCTGATAAGGATGAAGTCTTGGTATTATTGGCAGCACAGGATGGTTTTAGCAGATGCAGGAGGAGCATTCTCTTAATTTTAATAGATTACATATATTGTTTATGAAGATTTTCTGTTTAGAATAAATGATGCTGAATTCCACTTACAGAAACACCAAGTTTCTGTTTTGTGTAAATTTAAGTAAAAAGTCAATTTATGGGAAATACTGGGTAGAACATAGTACAGGTGGGACAAGCATGGCAAAATCTTGAAGGTGATAAAAAAAATCAATTTACTGAGGTTTGACATAGAATGCTGTACAGGAGTGGGTTTTCAGGGGTGGAATTTTTCGTTGTGTGGCAGGCAAGGCTGAGAGACACGGGGGACAAGGGAGCCCTCCCTTGCAAATTATATCCAGCAGGTAGCTTTTCATTGTCCCACAGGTAAGATCAGACATGTTCAGAAGCCATGTTCTATTCTGCACTGCACCCACTGAGGATCCAAAAACACAGGAGAAAAGTGGAAAATTTGGACATGTTCATAGAAGAGTATAAAGAATCAATACACATCTGGAAAACACACCTAGATGGAAAATGGAATTTTCCAAGAAAGACAGGAAAGTAGGAAATAAACTTAACTCCAGGCAGAGAAGATTATTGTTGGCCTTGATGAGAGTGTCCTCAGCAGAGGTCACGGGTCCTTTGGAGACCACGCCTTCTCCACTCCTCAGTCCATGGGAGTGAAACAGAGAGAAATGAACTACGAGGGAGGAAGTTCCAGTTCCAAAACATGGTATGACTGGCTGTTGCCACTGGACGTTTAAGCCATTTACCTTCCAGCCTCAGTCTCTTCAGCTAATAAATGGGATAATAATTCCTCTCCTACCCCCATCAACTTCGATTTGCTTAAAGGGCCTCAAACTATAAAAAGACACATTATGTCTTTATGTACATCAATCACTAGTAACACATGATTCTTACATTTCATCCAAACATATACAGGGAGAAAACACAGACATGATTAGGGAGCCAGTTTTTTAGTGCTGACAGAGTAAGAATTAAAGAATCAACATGCAACCACAGAAAAGAGAGCGGGATGAAGCATACCCTCAAACGACTTTAAAATCAGCACTTTGGCTAGTTCTTAAATACTAAGGACTATTCATGGGATGTTAAGGACATTCAAGGGCCGAAATCCCAAAAGTTATTGATAAGTTAAAAATGTTTTCTTAAGTTGATGTTAGCAGTGGTGTAATCCAGGGTAAAATTGTTTGAAATAAATATATAGTTTCTGATATAAAATAGACTAGGAAAGTATAAAAAGATGTCACAGTAGTAGGCAAATGATGGCAGATGAGCTTATCATTACTATTGGGTACTTACAGGGTGCTTTTAACTTTATCGTACCATTTCGTTCTCACAACAGCATGATAAAATTGCTATCACAATTATTCCCATTTTACAGATGAGTAAACTGAGGTACAGAGAGGTTAAGTAACTCGTCTAAGCTAATAAGTGCCAGATGTGGGACACAAACCCAGGCAGTGTGGCTGCCCTCTACCTGTGCCCACACCCTACCCCACCAACTGATGAAGTTGAGGGGTATAAACCAGTAACACTTTAGTAAAAGCTGGCAACAGTTGAGGGCCTACCAAGCGCCAAGTAGTACTATGAACTATAAACAATCTCATTTAATATATCTGACACTCAGCCTTAGGGTGTGGGCACTATTATTATCCCAGGTTTACAGATGAGGAAGCTGAGGGGATCAGGGACAGCAGAGACAGGAAGGAGCTTCCTGACCACCTAGAGCTATGTTTCTCTACCCTTTTTTACTGTCATGCCCCCACCCCTGCCACCAAAGGAGCCCCTTTTCCTAATCACCTCTGATGAAATTTTAATACCACGGAGAGACCATATATCTGTTATGGACTGCATGTATGTCTATGTTTTGTACATAAAAAGAGTAAGATTTCTTCACTGTCACCCCCCTTAAGAATAAATTTTTGCTCCCATTATGAGTTCTTACATGAGCAGTCTGTTGTGACCCAGGAAAGTGGTTCATTTGTTAACTTCTCATTCATTCATCCATTCCATCTTTCAACATTTACTGAATGAAAGAGATCATACACAAAAAAGTACTGTATGATTCCATATATATTAAGTTCAGTAACAGACAAATCAAATGTTCGATGACAGAAATCAGAACAGCGGTTGCTTCTGGAGGAGGGACACTGGCTAGGAGGGGGCACAAAGAATCTTTCTGATGTGACAGAATTTTTTTTATCTTAATCTGGGTGAAGGTTACATGTGTGCACACCTTTGTCAAAATTTACACATAACAAATCTGCATTTACTGTATATAAATTATATCCTACTAACATATAGTTTTTTGTTTCTAAGATAAGCACAGTAGTGAGAAAGGGAGAAAGAGCAGAACAAGGAGTTTGATCTATAACTGACTGAACAATCAACTGACATAACTTCTACCTTTGGACCAACCCCAATATGTATAGTTTTAAGGAAAGTATTTCCTAGTATGCGCCAGCCCAGGTACCTCAAATTGGTCTCTGAAGATGCTGCCATGCTTCTGGATCCACAGTCTCCACCAAATGCTCTGTGTTATCACGTAGGATCAGGAAAACCAAGCCAGCCCCTTAATCTAACTTTGCCAATGTCTGCGCAGGAATTCCATGCACAGCTCTGACGATCCAATGTCACAATGGAGTGGAAAAAGTCTAATGAGTACCTCAAAAGAGCAATAGAATCTAAGAACTTCCAAGTTGAGGGCACACCTTAACATCAAGGACTCTGAGGTTTATTATGGCTTCTGGGAAGAGGTGACAAAAGTCCATGAATTCACAAGAGGGGAGAAGCAGGGGCCGCCTTTCGCAGACTTTGAGAGCAGTTATTTCTCTGGGCGGTGGTCATGTGCTGCCTTGTGACACTGCCTGCACTTGGCACAGAATGGTTATTCACAGCAGCACTGTTATTTTGCTTTCCACATGCTTATGTCATTCTCCCAACCAGATCAGAAATAGCCTATGGTCAGAACCATGTCTTTGGATCCAGCTTAACTGTCCTCAGTGGCCATGCATAGTACCTCACAATCAGACTGCTGGGACTGCATAAGTCTGAGTACCAAATTTTTTGAACCAGATACTGGGGACCAAGATCTTTGTGCTACTTCTGCATGTGAGAGGCCGCCTAAGAGACACAATCTAGATGCCAATCTACTGGAATTTCTAAGACATTAAAAGATTTAGGGCACAACAGGAAAACTGTTTAAAATCTGTCCCTTCTAGAAAATTACATATGGTCAATGCAACTTTTAGGTGGCCTCAAATGCCTTATTCTATCTGTAACAGTATATTAAGCTAGAAGAGGGAAGAAACTTGATAGAATTTGCTTTAGAATAGAAATGTGATCAACTAAATAAATCAGTTTTTAAAGCTATGTTTGCCCTCAGAGTTGAATAGAAAAAGAATAGAACTAAGAGCTTACATCTGTAGAGAACCTGCTACGTATCAGGTATTCTACTAAGCATAGCATAAACATTATTTTATTCAATGCTTACAGTAACCCATGGAGGTAAGTGCTATTATAATACCAGTTTTACAGAAATTAAAGGGGTTGGTATCTGTCTAATTTAGGATAATGGAATTGGAAGGTAAAGTAGGAAGTCAAGCTGAGACTCTCCACTTTCATGCTCAACACTATCCTGCTCTCCTTCTGTGACCTTTTTGATAACCCTGCAGGGTAGGTGCTACCACCTCGCACTGATGGAAACAGAGCGACAGAGCTGGAGTTTGAACATAGACACAGATAATTATCTTCAAAACCTTCCCTCTTAACCACACCACAGTCTGCTTCTCGCATGGGTCTATGAAAGATTTAGGAAGTAGGTCAAGTAGATCAAAGAGAAGGACAGATCACCTAGCGTGTGCCCAGCTGGCCTCTGGGGTGAACTTGCTCAAGGGCAGCTGTGCAAAAACGGACCCAAGAGCCAACTGCAGAGCAGAACCCTGGGCACGGGCTGCAGCAAGTGGCATTTTCAGGTTGGAGGAGTAAGCGTCCAACACGCACCATGCTAATCCAGCACACCCCTTTCTGGATCTTACCTGTACAGTTTGTACTGTGTAGATTTTCTTCAGATTTGATGCACACTCAGCTGCTGTGGCACCAGGGAGGGATCTGAGCAAACACAAGCAAAAGAACAAAGACACAAGCAAAACGAGCAGTCAGTGTTCATGAAATAGTCCACAATGCGATGGTGCAGGTCTTAATAAAAATCAGGTCTAAAACCAAGAACTGAACATTTCTGGGATGCTAGTTAGAATTAAAAACTGTGAAATTCCTGCTTTGTGAAGTCATGTGTTTCCTTCTCCTAAAAAATCAGCATTTTTATTCTGTGGAAATTTAACAGGAAAAAAGGAAAAATGTATGTAAGAAAGCTATTAGAAACTGTAAAATCATTTTTAAAATACTAAAACTAGTGATAACCAAGCATTTTGGCTAGCACCTTAGATAAGAGACTATCTCATGTACAGATGACAATGAAATGCATGGTCCTGACCTGGTGATATGCTTCAAAGGAAAAATGTATGTAAGAAAGCTATTAGAAACTGTAAAATCATTTTTAAAATACTAAAACTAGTGATAACCAAGCATTTTGGCTAGCACCTTAGATAACAGACTATCTCATGTACAGATGACAATGAAATGCATGGTCCTGACCTGGTGATATGCTTCAAAACTTTTTAGCAGTTGGTGGTAAAATATCCATGCACTCTTGGGAAAGGGAGTGACCATTTGCCTACTTTAAGAAAACATTATTGCTAAAAGTCAACTTTGGTTTCCTCTGAGTTTGCATGTGTTTCCAAAAACACTCACCTTTAGAAAATATTTTCAGTTATTTTCTCCAGCTGTTTCAATTAGCTCTGCTGAACTTTATGGTCAGAATGTGTTAATCTTTAGTTTGCTATATGTTCCACTAGATGGCAACATACTACAGGTTTATTCACCAGAAAACCCATGCAATTTAACTGGCCTTACCAAGCATCATTTCCTGGGATTGGGGGTAAAATGACATGGCTCACTTACAAGTTAAGACTCCATTCCTGCCACCTTTTCTTTCTTCCTATACTGAATTTGCAGTTCGTGCTTAAGAATGTTGGAGTCCACTTATATCAGGCCTAAAGTGAAATCCCACCACACCTATCGTGCTCGAAAGCTCCAAGTCTGGTTGTTGGTGAGAAATAAGAGGCTTGCTGAGAGGAGAAAGTACCCTGCTCACAGATGACCCACTAGGATCTGGAATCTATAAAAAGAACACTCTTTATCAGCCACTGGCCCTCAGAGACATCATCCCCAGGAACCCTCAACATGTTGCACTTTCCGGACAGTTGCTAAACCACTGCATACTGGATATGTGCACAAAACTCACATTAGCTCAGGGATAGAGGGGATGGCAGAGGCCCATGTCCAGGTGGGGGTGAGCATAGCAAGGCTCTGCGGCTACACTTCTTGAACTATGAATCAATAAATGCTCCCTAAGTGTCGAACCTGAAGAGCAAAAATGCACTTCTGAACACAGTTCCCTCGTCTGGATGTCACTAAAGAAGAATAGTTATGCACCAGTTTGGGGGCAAACAAGAGACCCCCTCTGGGCAGGTGAAGTCTGATAAATAAATCTATGCTTAAGCACTGAGTTTACAACTCTTTTCTAGCTGTTTATAAATTTGCTGAACATTGTTTTAAAAAGAGCAAATCCACAATAACCACCACGATTGCATTTTGTTGCCAAACTTGAAGCCTAAAATAACTATGTTGAACAGTGTGGTAAAGAGTGAGGTACTCTGGTGACCGGCCCCCTGATGAAATACATCAGTCTGTGTGGATTGACTGGGCTCGTGGTTACTGAAGTATCAACTCAGTTAAATATTAATTGCTGTTTAGTGCAGGTTTTTATGCCATTTTGACTTACATTATAAAAAGATTAGATGAAAAAAACTAAAAAACCTCACTTTTTCTGAATAGATTATTACATGAAAAATCTATTACTTTTACATGAAAATCTACTGGCATTTATTCCAATACTAATTTTTCTTCCTTTGAAAAGTTTAGCTGACTGCTCAAATATGCCCAGCAAATATATACCCGAATCCCTCAAAGCACATATGCCAGGATACAGAGGGCTCCTTCCCTAACTGTGTATGGGGAAGGAGGGTTAGAGTCCAAAGGGAGAAAAAGTACTTTGCATTTTTTTTCATTTTTAAAACTGTGTTTTCAAGCTTTTTACTAATTTGTAATGTTACATTTCTTTTTTTTTTTCCTTTTTGTCTTTTTTCGTGACTGGTAACGGGATCGCAACCCTCAGTGTCACGCCCGCACCGCGACCGGCAACGGGATCGCAACCCTCGGTGTCGTGCCCCCACCGCGCTCAACCAGTGAGCGGACCGGTCTCTATATGGGATCCGAACCCTCGGTGGGAGCGCCACTGCGCTCCCAAGCACCGCACTCCACCGAGTGCATCACCGGGCCGGCCCTGTAATGTTACATTTCAATTTAGGATGGCTTAGAATGAGTACATTTGCATGTTCACCTTACAGCATTATGTCAATTTAAGCAAATACGGTGTGAGGATAAATACCATTTAACCTAGAAAAAAATCAGCGATAAACTTTTTTTTTTTTTTTTACATGCCTCTTTTTTAATGCCTGTCTCCTCATAGTCTGGTCTTTTACTCATATTCCAGTACAGGAGACAATTATACAAAGTCATTTAGGTCATCTCAGTTTCACTGTCCAAGTATTTTGGAAAAAAAAAATCAAGTTTCCAGAGCCCAAGAAAGGATCCAGAAGGAAACACCTAGCAGTGCTGATTAGCATCAGACAACAATATCAATAGCTAACACATATGTACAGAATTCTTGCTAGTGTGTGAAGCATCTGACCTCCCTTGCAGCATTGAATCCTTGCAAACCTGCTTATGCAGCTGTCAATATTATTTATCACCATTTCACAGGTGAGCAAGCTGGGGCTTAGAGAGGTTTCGTAACTTGCCCAAGGTCACACAATGTGATTTAAACACAGGTGACCTGTGATTCCTGCTCTTCACCCCTCACTGTGGAGCTGCCTGTTTGAGCCATATACACACATTCTTTTTTTTTTTTTTTTAAAGATGACCAGTAAGCGGATCTCAACCCTTGGCTTGGTGTTGTCAACACCACGCTCAGCCAGTGAGCCAACCGGCCATCCCTGTATGGGATCCAAACCCGTGGCCTTGGTGTTATCAGCACCACACTCTCCCGAGTAAGCCACGGGCCGGCCCTATATACACACATTTTTTAGTGGGGTTTTATAGCTGACTCTTGGTGCATTCTCATCAAGGCCACCATTTTTGTTGAATTTTGCTAGATTAACCATTTATGATATGGATGTACTGGGGTTTGAAAGGAAATATGTCAAGTTCCACGGACACTCAGTTTCCTAATTTCTTTACGGAGGAGGTTGAATTAAGTGATCTTAAAGGTTCCTCCCAGCTACTCGGCAGTTTTACGAATACCCAGGTTTCAAAGTAACAAAACAATGTTGTCAGAACTACAGATCATAGTAAAGGGTTGGCTTGGCCGGACAGCAGAAGATATGGCTCCTGTGAGCCAAATCTAATTTTAACAGTCACTCAAAAACACCAATATGCCTAACCTCCAACTTCTTTAACAAGCAAAATTAGGTCACAGCCACAGAATCAATCTTAAAAGGGCAAATGAGCTGAGATTTTTAAACTGTCTGCCTTATAAATAGGTCAGTCTGTGCTGGACTTGCTGATTCAAAGTTGAAGCAGAAGCTGTATCATCTATGGTTACTGTGTCTTAAACTAGCAGTACAGGCTGTTCATGGCAAAGTTGCAGCCTTGGCAGTGGGCAGCCACATCTTCTCTTCCCTGACACTCAGATAGTTGTAGCAACTGGAAGGTAAATGTTTGTAATGGATTTCAACGAAACAAACATTTTTACTAGTATCACATATACAGTATATTCTCATATCCTTAAAAAACCTGTATTACATTCACGTTACAAACCTTAACCTCCCAACATAACGCTAATCAAAACCCTCTCTCTGCAGACCAGGGGTGCTCATCTAGGGGTGATGTTGCCCCTCAGAGGACATTTGGCAATATCTGGAGACATTTTTGGTTGTCAGAATTAAGGGGATGCTACTGGCATCTAGTGGGTAGAAGTCAAGGGTGATGCTGAACCTCCTACAGTGCACAGGACAGACCCCTACCACAGAGCATCATCTAATCTAAAATGACGACATGCCAAACCCAAGAAATCCTGCTGTAGACATGTAACAAACAGTCTCAGAGGATTTAAAATGTATTTAATCAACAAGGATTCATTAGACACCTCTTTTAGCTGCTGCAGATACAGTGATGATCATTCTAGACAAAGCCCTTGTCCCCATGGAGTTTACGTTCCAGAACTGACACCCCTGCTCTCTGAATTCCCCAGACTCCTGAAGAAACAATGTTCAGATCCTTTTTTATTTGCCTGGGGGGGAAGAGGGAGGAAAGAAAGCTGAGAGAGGAATATATATGCTGATTTGTGACCATTCCTAGAAGAAGATATAATCAGAGCTGAGTAAAATCACACAACCAAGGAATCGGGACCCGTTTTCACATTCTCTGAATTCTCTGCCACCCTCCTATGGTATACAGCTGAAGCTAAGAACACAGCAATGGAATACTTGCCCCTAGATGCATCTGGTTAAACAATTTGAATTGACCACCAAGAGTTTCCCCTCTATTTAATTATATTAATATAATAATAGCCTCCTTTTACTGAGCATGTATTACATGAAAGGGTTTTGAATATATTCTCTCTAATCCTTATAGCAATCCTGCCAAGTTGGTATCATTATCCCCACTTTACAGATTAGGAAACTGAGGCTCAGCGAGCTTGTTCTGTTCTGTTTTGTTTTGTTTTTGTGGCTGGACAATATAGGGATCTGAACCCACAGCGATCCTGTTTTCGCATAGTGGATCCGGGTTCTTCTCCTCCTGGTCTGTCTGGCTCTGATGCCCTTGACCTTCCCTTTAGACTAGGCTGCCTCCCAGTAAAATCTGAGCAGTCGCTGTCAGCCTGGGTGGTCTCATACAATACACCTTATGGCAAACCCCTCTCTCAGCCC